TCTGGGCCTGGGCGCTGTCCCTCAGCTCTTCAGCTCAAGGCTAGCACTCTACCACTTGAGCCGCAGTGCCACTTCCACCTTTTTTTTTTTGCTTATGGGGTGCTGAGGAATTCAACCCAGGGCCTCAGGCATGCAAGGCAAGCACTCTACCACTAAGCCACCTTCCCAGCCCCCAAGTCTGTGAGATTCTTATCTCCAATAAACCACCAGAAAACCAACAACAACAACAAAAAATCTGTCATCTTGGAAATGCTCAGCAGCTATTAACTTTTTTATTTTTTCCCCTAAACTGGGAACACTATATATATACTTTTTGAAATATGTTTTAATCTTTTCAAATCAGTAAACATTTTTCTACAAATTCTCAACTTTTTGTATCATGAAAACTTTCATATACACAGAAAAGTAAAATGTCCATATATTCATTATCCAGATTAGTCAATACTTAATATTATGCTACTTTTTACCATCCCTATTTAACTTTGTTTATATTCTCATGTATTTTGAAGTAAATAGATGACATATTATTTAATTCCTATAAACTTAAATACACATCCTTAAAGTAAAATATGTATATTAAGCCAGGTGCCAGTGGCCTATGCCTATCATCCTAGTTACTCAGGAGGCTGAAATTTGAGGATCACTGTTCAAAGCTGGCCTGGGCAGGGAAGCCTGTAAGACTCATCTCCAGTTTACCAACAAAAAGCTGGAAGCCGAGTTGTGGTTCAACTAGCCTTGAGCACAAAAGCTCAGGGACAGTGCCCTGGCCTTGAGTTCAAGACCCAGGACTGGCACCAAAAAAAAGGTGTATTATATGTCATATACAACAGTGACATATCGTCATTCAATTACTCAAAAATAATATTGGAATCCTGGCAACAATGTTACATTCAAGCCTAGCAACTTAACCAGACTTTATCTAAAATAATAATAATTAACAAAATAAAAAGTACTTAGGGCCAGGCACTGGTACCTCACACCTGTAATCCTAGCTACTCAGTAGGCTGACATCTGAGGCTTGTGGTTTGAAGCCAGCCCAAGCAGAAAAGTCCCCATGAGACTCTTATCTCTAATTAACCACTCAAAAACAGGAAGTAGTACTGGTACTGTGTGGCTCAAGTAGTAGAGGGCTAGCCCTTCAGCACAAAGAGGCTCAGGGACCACACCCAAGCCCCTAGTTCAGGCCCCACAACCAACAACAGCAACAAAAAAGCATGAAAACACACACACACACACACACACACACACACACATATTGTGCATAAATCTCTACTGAAAACCTATCTTTATGAAATAAAGATTGCTGTTTGGATCTTTTTTTTTTTTCAAAATGTAGACCAACAGGAAGTTGTTGTTGTTTTTATTTATTTTTTGTGATCATGGAGCTTGAACTCTGGGCCTGGACCCTGTCCCTCAGCTCTTCAGCTCAAGGCTAGCGCTCTACCACTGGAGACACAGAGCCACTTCCAGTTTTCTGGTGGTTCATTGGAGATAAGAGTCTCATGAACTTTCCTGCCTGGGCTGGCTTTGAACCTTGATCCTCCGATCTCAGCCTTCTGAGTAGCTAGGATTACATGCATGAACCACTGGCACCCAGCTCAGGAAGTTGTTTTAAAGCCAGGTGCTGATGGCTCAGGTCTGTAATCCTTCTACTTTGGAGGCTGGGATCTAAGGATTGTGGCAGAAAAGTCCACGAGACTTTTATCTCCAATTAACCAGCAAAGAATTGGAAGTAGAGGTGTGGGTTGAGTGGTAAAATGACAGCTTTGAGTGGAAAAAGCCAAACAAGAGTGAGAGGCCCAGTAGTGGCATACACACACACACACACACACACACACACAGAGTTGAAAGTTGTTTCATTCATCTGCAAAGCAAATAACTAGGTAGTCATCCATCAATGAAGGAAACTCCATAGATCTGAATTGGATGTAATAGTGTTATTTAATTAAGTCATTTTTGATCCTTGTTCATCTTCATATATTTTATTATAATTCCAACTGAAATATATTCTAATTCAATTAGGATGTATTTCTTTTTTTTTTAATCTTTTTGTCAGTTGTTGGGGCTTGAACTCTTTGCCTGGGACACTGTCCCTAAACTCTTCAGCTCAAGTCTAGTACTCTACCACTTTGAGCCACAGCATCACTTCTGGTTTTCTGGTGGTTAATTGAAGATAAGGGTCTCACAGACTTTCCTGCCTGGGTTGGCTTTGAACTGTGATCCTCAAATCTCACCCTCCTGAGTAGCCAGGATTATAGGCATGAACCACCAGTGCCCAGCAGGATATATTTCTTTAAAAAGAAATATTTTCCTATTAATATTTATTCTCGAACAGGTACTTAGGGTCAAGCTTATTGGTGTTCCTAGGATCACTCTTTTTCTTTTTCTTTCTTCCTTTTTTTTTTTTTTTTGTCAGTCTTACTATGTTGCCAAGGGTCATCTCAAACTCCTGCTGATTCTCTTGCCACAGACTCCTATGTGCTGAGGCTTCGGGCATGCACTTTTTTCTATATTCTTTAGCTGTTTACTATATTAGTCTTCTAGGGCTGCTACAATAGAATACCACTGACCGGGTGGTATCTTAACAGAAGCTTACTCTGTGTGTGTGTGTGCACACATGCGTGTGCACATGCACACGCGTCAGTCTTGGGACTTTAACTCAGGGCCTGAATACTACCTTTTAGGTTTTTTTGCTCAAAGCTAGTGTTCTACCACTTTGAGCCACAGCTGCACTTTTTTTTTTTTTGAGTGGGGGAGAGGTTGGGAGGGAGCTGATAGTTAATTGGAGATGAGGATCTCAAGGACTTTCCTTCCTGGGCTGGCATCAAACCATGGTCCTCAGATCTCAGCTTCCTGAGTAGCTAGGATTACAGGTATGAGCCCCTGGTACCTGGCTAGAAATTAGCCTTCCTACAGTTCTGGAAGCTGGAGACCTAAGAACTAGATGTTTTTGTGTCTCCTAAAGCCTCTCTTCTTGGTACGTAGTTGGCCATTTTCTTTTTGGTCCTTATGTGATCACCCCTCAGTCTGTCTTGTCTGTGCCCAAATCTTAGAAAGGCATGGCTTGTAGTGATTTGGTTTTGATTGCCTCTTTAAAGTCTCTGTATCTAAACACAGTCACCTTCTGAGTGTCCAGGGTTTACAGTTCAACATGGGAATTTTGGGTGAAAACAGTCAGGGCCATGAGTTAAGTTTAAGTAATCTTTCTTTATCTGGTTATTTCCAGGGTTCCACTTCTCTGGCATTGGTTATGTGGGAAGCCTCATCAGAGTGCTTTGCGACCACGCTGGTGCCCACACTCAAAAGCAGCTGCAGTTACCTCAGGGCTATGCGCCATGTCCCCAGAATGGTCATCCCACCCGAGGACTGGCTTAGCGGAGAACACCAAGACAGTCAGGGTTTCAACAGGATCAAAACACTGCCGGTAAGAAATCTAGGTAAACCTGGGCACCTGTGACTCATGCCTGTAATTCTAGCTACTCAGGAGGCTGAGATCTGAGCATCATGGTTTGAAGCCAGCTTGGGCAGGAAAGTCCCCAAGAGACTCTTTATCTCCAATTAACCACTTAAGAACCGGAAGTGGAGCTGTGGCTCAAAGTGGTAGAACACTAGCCTTGAGCCAAAGAGCTCAGGGACAGCTCCACAAGTGACCAGGAGATGGGAGATCAAAGTATATGGGTATGAGAGTTCCAATGATGTATTCCTTCTGCATGCATGGAATCCTGTTTCAGGATTTCTTTTCTGAGATTCTCAAATGCTTCGGTCCTTTTGCAATCTTGTTTTGAGGAGGCAATAATGATTACTTAACTCTAAAATGTAAACACTTTCTAAAATAATGATATTTTCCTTGGTAACTTAACTTGGTTATACTATCTTGTGATTTTGGGTTTTTGTGATACAGATAGCTATTTGATCTCACACAGACTTAGCCTAAGTTAGTGTATCTAATTGGTCCCATTTCAATGTAATGAGTTTAACTTTTGCCTCATCAGAATTTGTGACCCTTTTTTAAAAAAAATAGATGTTAACTAACTAGCTACTTATATTGTTTTCCTGTGACTAAAAGCAAATAACCAATAATATTGAAGTATTTAAGGACATCACTAAATCTCTTTTACAAAATGCATAAACATTATCACATTGATTTTATGGTAGTTAATTTAGGTACCAAAAGTGGTTTGCACTTGTTTACAAGTTCCAAGTTATATAACCATGGGTTGAGGCTTACTTTTTATTATTTTATTATCATTAAGTAGTTGTACAAAGAGGTCTCGGTGCAACACATCAGTTTATGAATACAATGTATCTTGATCGATGTCATCCCTTTCATCATTTTCCCCCAGCTTTTCCAACCCCATGCATCCCCTCAAATCACCTGAATATTATTACTGCATTTACCACTCTTCCTCTGGGAGTGGAGGTTTCTGAACCTGATTAAAATAAGGGGTAGCGTTGGAGAAGAGAAATTTACCTTATTAATACTTTAGGCTACAAAAGGACAAAATTGCATTTAATGCTTTTCAGGGGGAAATATCTATATTTACATTAGTACATCTTCATAAGTGATAATGTGTTGTACATTTTCTTTGTTTAATCACTTGCAGGTAAACTACAGGCCTCCATCTAATATGGGAATTGCTATTCCACTCACAGATAATTTTTATCATGCAGATCCTAGCAAACCCATACCTAGAAATCTATTCCATAAGTCACAGGTAAATTACTTTTTTCCTATATATAGACTAACATAGTATTAATTTTTTCATTATAGTTGTTGTTTGTATGTGTTTTCTTTTTTCAATTTTTGATTAATTTTATTATTTTTTTGATTATGTGGAACCGAAGAATTGAACTCAGGGCCTCATGCATGCTAGGCAAACATTCTACCACTAAGTCACAGTCCCAGCCCCATAGTATTAATTTTGTACTTAAGAAAACATTCAGTAGGCATTGGAAGCATGGCTCAGTTGGTAGAATGCTAGCCAATGAGCAAAAGTGACAGACACTGAATTCAAGTCCCATTCTAGGGCCCTCCCCCCCCAAAAAAAGAAATCATTCAGTAAAATTATAGATGGACCTAGCTGTGTGGACTAAATAAGAAGCTTCAGCAATTATTATTATTATTGTTACCATGGCTATCACTATGCTTGTTGCCCCTTTTCCTTCTCTACTTCTTTAGCCCCTGTCGGTTAACAGCTATTTTTGCATATAGTTCTGGAGCCAAGAAATCTAAATGGACTCTACCCTTGACCTCTCCCTGTCTTGTATTTGAATTTCAAAGAGAACAGGCCAGTGAGAGCATCTTTGGTCAATGGATACTGGCAGGTTCATCCCAGATCTTCCAGCCCCCTGACAGGAATTCTATCTACTAGGAAACAAGACTGTTTGAACCAACATCAGGTTGTTGCCTAGAAAATAGCCCAATCTCAGCAGAACCTTGGCACTCTAGAAGTAGCCAGGCATCCTTCTGGAGGTAAAGTTGAACAAGAAAGAAAGAGCAAAGGGAGGCCTTAGAGTTTAGAGGAAAAGTACATTGTGATGTAGCTTCTCACAGGTAGCTTCTCCAGTTCTCAACTGGAACTTCATGGGTACCAGAAGAATGCACCTACTTGCCTGTATCCATATGCAAATGTATAAGCACTCATACCCATTCATACACACACCTCCCTGCTCAGAGACCTAAAATTGATACTTGGTTTGTTCAAGATTCTTCATTGTTTTCTCTTCGCATTCAGAGTGAAGACCAAAGTTTGTTTTTCTTTTTTTTGGGGGGGGTGTTTTTTGTTTTTGCTGGTTGTGGGGCTTGAACTCTAGGCCTGGGCACTGTCCCTGAGCTCTTCAGCTCAAAGCTAGCGCTCTTCCACTTGAGCCATAGTGCCTTTCCGGCCTTTCCTGCTTATGTGGTGCTGAGGAATCGAACCCAGGGCCTCATGCATGTGAGGCAAGCACTCTACCACTGAGCCACCTTCCCATCCCCAGACGACAAAATTTTTACAGTGACTTCTAAGGCCCTCCTTGACTCTGATTTGGCTTTACCTGATCTCTAGCCCAACGCCTCTTCCCACTGCTCAACTATTCTCACCACATTGACCTCTTTGCTGTTTTACAAATTTGCTGGCCATGTGTGTTTCGACCTCAGGGCCTTGGCAGTTGCAGAACATCCCTCTCTAGAATGAGCTTTCACCAGACAGCATGCGTTCACTCTGTCACCTTCCCCAGGGTCTTGCTTAAATGCGAGGATCAAAGTGAGGCCTTGCCCAACTACTCTAGAATCAGAACCCCATCTCCCTCAGCCCAATTCCTGACTGCCTCCCCTGCTTCACTGTTCTCCTTATCATTAATTGTAATGTTATGTATTTTACTCATTTGTTTACTGCCTTTCTGACCCCTTAAGAAGGTACATTCATGAGGCAAGTTTTTTAAAAAAATCTCTACTGTATTCATAGTGCCCACAATACTGTCAGTGATAAAATGTGCCTAAAAAGTGTTGAATAATGGCCACGCCTGGCGGCTTGCCTCTTAAATGTCAGTCACTTGAGAGGCAGAGTTTTGAAAAGATCATAGTTTAACATCAGTCCAAGTAGAAATTTAGTGAGGTCTAACTTTACTAATAAGCTGAATGTATACCAGTTAGGTGGAGTCCAAAATAGGATCATGATTCTGGTTGGCCCTAGCAAAAATGCCAAACCATAGCTGAAAAATAATTGAAGAAAATGAGATTAAAACTTGACTCAAGTAGTAGAGTTACTGTCTAGAAAATAGGAGGCTCTGAGTTCATGTCCCAGGACCACTAAGAAAACTTAAGTGAGTGTGTCCCATGTACCCATAATCCTGCACTCAAGGGCCGAAGGCAAAAGGATTAATCCATGCTACATATCGGACTGATACTGAAAGGATCATGATTCTAGTGCAGCACAGGCATAGAAACTTATGACTCAGGGGCTGGGAAGGTGGCTCAGTGGTAGAGCGCTTGCCTTGCATGCCTGAGGCCCTGGGTTCGATTCCTCAGCACCACATAAGCAAAAAGAAAAAAAGCCGGAAGTGGCGCTGTGACTCAAGTGGTAGAGTGCTAGCCTTGAGCTGAAGAGCTGAGGGACAGTGCCCAGGCCTAGAGTTCAGGCCCCACAACCACCAACAACAACAACAACAAAAAAAATGAGGTTGAGCCTCAAATACTCATCAAGACCAAATTAGGTTTTGTGGGAGTTTTTTTTAATTCTATAAAAAGTATCGGTTAGTGAATTCCTGGGTAGCAATCCCTTTTTCATTTTGATATAAAATAGATAGGTCCAAAAGTCTTAAAAATAGAATGGAATCTTTCTATGAAGCATCCATAGGAATGTGGGACAATGTCTGGTTTTACTTAAAGGTGCATATTGCTGCTATGACATGGTGTGTTTTCTCCCCCAGGGGTCTGAGCTGTTTCACTTTAGAGTGTCTGTTGTTCCAGGGGTCACTTTTTGTAACTTAGTCGAAGAATTTCAGGTACTATGAACGCACGAGCTATCCAAGAGAGGGTGAGGACTGGGAAATGACATGACTAGTATCAATCCAAGAGAGACGAAGGACAATGATGATTCTTGTGTGAGACAAGACTTGGAGCCAGACGGGGAATGTGGAGAATGATGTTGTGAGGGGTGAGACTGCCGAATGTCTGCATTACTCAGAGCAGAGCATTGCTGGGTATGGGTATCATACAATGCCCACTGTTTCACATTGGACTCAGAAAGCTTAATGACTTTCCTTTGTTTTCTGGCAGATTTACGTTGATGACGTGCCATTGCCATTTCCAGGACATACGCTTATTGCTGTGGCAACAGCCGTAGTGATGGGGGCGTTGATTTTTACAGTATTTATGTTCCAGCTGCGTAACATCCACCCAGGGGAAGCAATTCGAAAATGGATTCAAGGAAACAAAGTGAACATATCAAATAGCAGTGTCTCATAGCATCAACTAAACAACATCCTAAATCTCATTTCATCAGACAAATCCCAGAACAACATGCTTAAATGTTAAGTTTACAAAACAAAACCAGATAAAAATACTACAGAATTACTATTATAATTCCAAGTATTATCTGCCAATAAGTTTACAATTCCATTCTCTTATGTTGAATACATAAGAAATTTATTTCAGCACTTATATAAATTATCCTGGAGATTTCTTTGGAAAAATATAAAATACTAACCAACTCTGTGTAGAATGCATTTTTCTGGGGTTTTTATTTTTGTTTTTTGTTTGCAACTCGTAACTGCCTGTAGCTTATTTTGTGGGCCCCAAAGCCTAGAACCTTGTTTCTGGGTAAGAAAGAGGAAGGTGAGGGCTGGGAAGGTGGCTCAGTGGTAGAGTACTTGCCTTGCATGCACGAGGCCCTGGGTTCAATTCCTCAGCACCACATAAGCAGGAAAAGCCAGGAGTGGCACTGTGGCTCAAGTGGTAGAGCACTAGCTTTGAGCTGAAGAGCTGAGGGACAGTGCCCAGGCCCAGAGTTCAGGCCCACGACTGACAAAAAAAAAAGAAAGAGGAAGGTGAATTTTGGCCTGCAGAGTCAAACACTGGAGGACACTCATCAGTGGATGTGCATCCAAAGCTTCATGGGAAATAAAGAAGCTCTTTGGGTTTCTGAAGGCAACTCCAAAACCAGACTACAGCATCCAAAAAGAGGGGAGTGTGACGCCATCAGGGGGTGTTGCAACTATGTCGAATTCCAAAAGCTATATCTCGGTGTGCTCTCAGCACACCTGCTTCTAAGGAGCTGGAAGATGATGTGTATATTTAGAACAAAACAGAGAAAAGAGGAGCCAAGGTTGTGGACTGATGGGAAAAGAGAGAGTCCTTAAGAGATTGTCCAAGATCAGACACATTTTCTTTTTTTTTTTTTTTTTTTGGTTGGTCCACAGTACCAAGGACTTCTATAGTACCAAG